AGTAAATTCAACCCTTTTTGGCCCCACCCATCAGCCCCTGGGGGTCAGTCAGGGCTCATATGTGCTTATTATCAAACTGCTACCTAATACTGATAATGCTAACCCAAATTGAATTACTTCCAATGGAAATTAAACAAATGTTGGTCCAAAATGTGATTTCCCTATATAAACTATAGTTAAGTTTACCCCCTCCCCAGGGGGAAACGTGAGACCCCAGGGTAAAGAAATTCATAATTTCAGTAAAGCACCTTAAGACCCTTCCATCTATGAAGAGCATTTGATTCTACCATATCTGGACCTTGAGAAGAAGGTTTTTGAAATTTCAGTCAATTCAACCCTTTTTGGCCCCACCCATCAGCCCCTGGGGGTCAGTTAGGGCTCATATGTGCATACTATCAAATTGCTACCTAATACTGATAATGCTAACCCAAATTCAATTACTTTCCATGGAAATTAATGTTGGTCCAAAATGTGATTTCCCTATATAAACTATAAAGTTTACACCCTCCCCAGGGGGAAACGTGAGACCCCAGGGTCAAGAAATTCACAATTTTGGTAAAGCACCTTAAGACTCTTCCATATATGAAGAGTATTTGATTCTACCATATGTGCGTCTTGAGAAGAAGATTTTTGAAATTTTAGTCAATTCAACCCTTTTTTGCCCCGCCCCTCAGGCCCCTGGGGGCTTGGGACTAAACCGGTCATTATTATTGTTGACCTTTGTCCATTGAAGGTCCCTGCACAATTTCATTGAAATTGGTTCAGGGGTTTTGGAGAAGAAGATTTTTGAAATTTTAGTCAATTTGACCCTTTTTGGCCCCGCCCCTCAGGCCCCTGATGGCTGGGGACCAAACCGGCAACTATTTTTGTTGACCTTTGGCAATGGAAGGTTTCTGCAAAATTTCATTGAAATTGTGTGTATGTGTGTGATGTACTTATGTAATATGTAGTAGTTTGTACCTGTAAGTGTGTGTATGTGTGGGTGTGGGATGTACTTACGTAATATGTAATAGTTTGTACCTGTATGTGTGTGTGATGTACTTATGTAATATGTAGTAGTTTGTACCTGTATGTGTGGGTGTGGGATGTATTACGTAATATGTAATAGATTGTACCTGTATGTGAGTGTATGTGTGTGTGATGTACTTATGTAATATGTAGTAGTTTGTACCTGTATGTGTGTGTGAGTGTGTGTATGTATGTGTGTGGGGGATGTACCTATGTAATAGTTTGTACCTGTATGTGTGTGGGTGTGTGATGTACTTATGTAATATGTAGTAGTTTGTACCTGTATGTGAGTGTGTGTGTGTATGTATGTGTGTGTGTGTGGGATGTACTTATGTAATATGTAGTAGTCTGTACCTGTATGTGTAGGTGTGTGTATGTATCTCAGTGTGTGGGATGTACTTATGTAATATGTAGCAGTTTGTACCTGTGTATGTGTGTGTGTGTGGGGGGATGTACCTTTGTAATATGTAGTAGTTTGTACCTGTATGTGTGGGTGTGTGTATGTATCTCAGTGTGTGGGATGTACTTATGTAATATGTAGTAGTTTGTACCTGTGTATGTGAGTGTATGTGTGGGGGGATGTACCTATGTAATATGTAGTAGTTTGTACCTGTATGTGTGGGTGTGTGTATGTATCTCAGTGTGTGGGATGTACTTATGTAATATGTAGTAGTTTGTACCTGTATGTGTGGGTGTGTGTATGTATCTCAGTGTGTGGGATGTACTTATGTAATATGTAGTAGTTTGTACCTGTATGTGTGGGTGTGTGTATGTATCTCAGTGTGTGGGATGTACTTATGTAATATGTAGTAGTTTGTACCTGTATGTGTGGGTGTGTGTATGTATCTCAGTGTGTGGGATGTACTTATGTAATATGTAGTAGTTTGTACCTGTATGTGTGGGTGTGTGTATGTATCTCAGTGTGTGGGATGTACTTATGTAATATGTAGTAGTTTGTACCTGTATGTGTGGGTGTGTGTATGTATCTCAGTGTGTGGGATGTACTTATGTAATATGTAGTAGTTTGTACCTGTATGTGTGGGTGTGTGTATGTATCTCAGTGTGTGGGATGTACTTATGTAATATGTAGTAGTTTGTACCTGTATGTGTGGGTGTGTGTATGTATCTCAGTGTGTGGGATGTACTTATGTAATATGTAGTAGTTTGTACCTGTATGTGTGGGTGTGTGTATGTATCTCAGTGTGTGGGATGTACTTATGTAATATGTAGTAGTTTGTACCTGTATGTGTGGGTGTGTGTATGTATCTCAGTGTGTGGGATGTACTTATGTAATATGTAGTAGTTTGTACCTGTATGTGTGGGTGTGTGTATGTATCTCAGTGTGTGGGATGTACTTATGTAATATGTAGTAGTTTGTACCTGTATGTGTGGGTGTGTGTATGTATCTCAGTGTGTGGGATGTACTTATGTAATATGTAGTAGTTTGTACCTGTATGTGTGGGTGTGTGTATGTATCTCAGTGGGTGGGATGTACTTATGTAATATGTAGCAGTTTGTACCTGTGTGTGCATGTGTGTACAATGTGTGGTATGTATGACTCCTGTAATATTTTTGTCATCTTGAGTGCGTTTACTTTATTAATGAATACATAGTATGTAGTTAAATTCCACAGGATTGTACACTGTTTATGTTTCTGTGGTCCTGATACCGGTCTATATACGTCAAAGTGACAAGATTTGGTCTTGACAATATCATAAAATATATAAAATATTTTCTTTTAATTTCGTCGAAATTAGATCAGTAGATTCAGAAAAAGAAATTTCAATATGGCTTATACAGCACCTATGGCATGTTACAAGAATAGATCTGCATCATAAACCAATCATTTTCATAAAAGTTCTGAAATATATGAGTTAAAACTGAGGGTGAGGTTACCCAAAATGGAACACTTTTTGAAGAAAAATTCTATTATTTCCTATTAAGTTTTTGGAAGGTCAAATGTTTTACTGAAATAAAACAATACATGCCATTAGCCTTTATTTTCTGTATTTCTTTGGTATCAACAGTGCGCGTGTCTATTTATAGAGCTAATCAAAGTGAGTCAGTTCACTTTGAATTTTAAGCTGGTCGAGTACCCAACATAAAACACTTCATCCTTTAAGTCAGCTTATGAAATAACTGACAGCACTTAAAATAATTTTCTTCATTTCAAAAAGGTATTGACAAATTTTAGTCCTTCATATGGTTTTCCATGTTCAGAAATATGACAGGATATTTATGTTGTTGCATCGTACCATTTACCGGGATTTTTTTCATTTCATTTTTTTAATATTTCAATTGGGGTTATGAGCAATGTTTAAGAGGAGGGCAATTGAAATTTGCTCAAAGTGAGTACAACTTTATCAATCTTGATAGAGAATACATACCATTCATTTTATCAAACAAGAATATGCTGCATATTATATATCAAGTGTTCCATTTAGGTCCCCTAAAAGATTTTCCAGATGACCACTATAGCTGCCAGGCCATATCTTATTTTAAATCGAAGCCAACATAACAAATAGCCTGAAACATGTCAATTATTTCCATCATTAAAACAAAATAATTCATTCAACATTATTTCAGTTTACACACAAATTGTTTTTTAAAAGTTCGTTTCCTAGCAATATAATGGTTTGTATTACAATACTAATGGCCACCCCTATTAAAAAGTAAGCACTTTAGTTTTCCATGAACGTTATTTCCGATTCTTATTCTACAAATCCCAAATCATACTCAGATTTTCTTATGATTCGTTTTGTAGCAGCTTAAAACAAGAGCACCACAAACGGATGCGCCAGTCTAACCCTACCCAATGATTTTTTGTTTGTTAAATTAAATCCATAGTGTCCTTCTTAGACCCCACAAGAACATCAATGCCAAAAATTAGGACAATAACACATGATCTGACTGAACTGTACACCACTGAAGAAACTTGCACCAAAACTTTACCTGAGAAATTGTGCAAGAAAAGTTAAGTCCCAAACACGTCCAAAATTTCCAAAAATAGAAATTATTTTCCCAAACTAAATCCATGTTGTCCTTCTTGACCCCACATGAACACCCATTTTGTACACCACCGAAGAAACTTGCACCAAAACTTTAATCAGGAAAATGCGCGAGAAATGTAAAGTCCCAAACACATTCAAAATTTTCAAAAACTGAAATTATTTCCCAAATTAAAACCTGATTGTCCTTGTTAGACCCAACATGAACATCCATGCCAAAAACTAGGACAATAACACATGATCTGACTGAACTGTAGAGCACTGAAGAAACTTGCAACTAAACTTTAACCGGACGGACGGACGCAAACGCTATACCATAATACGTCCGTCGAATTTCGACGGGCATATAACAAAACATAAGATGAACATCATTAACTTGATAATTGATTTAATACATTTATTTACAATTCTACATACAAATTAACATGGTCTGATCTACATGTACATAACAGACTTTATGACTACATTATGTATACATAATTCATCATGTAAAAAAATTGCATTCATCAAACAAGGAAAACCCAAGTTTTCATTTGTGAATAGTGATGCAGAACCTTGATCATCTCATAAACAAAACTATCAATGATAGAGGGTATTAGTGAAATATGGCTACACATAGCATTGTGTGTGTGCTTCCACACAAAATATGTACATGTCACAATTAATGTTATTAACTAGCACAGAGCTGCTTTAAGTTCATATTCTAAATTCATGTTTACACCGTGACAAGTATATGCCAGGATTGATGGTTAAAAAGAATAAAGTTTCCGAAATTGTCAATGTCCTAATCAACAAGAACAGCATTTTCCTCAATTCAATGAAGAGTCAACAGCCCATACCATTCACCAGGTATCACACACGGTTCTGATGTAATCTTAAAAACCAGATCACATATATAAATCCACTTCTAAATGCTTTAGAGATACTGACTACATTATAATTTCACTTGATCACACATAGAGGTCAGTTTACAAAGTTAGTACTGTACTACGTGTGAGAGTCCAGTCTTACCACTGTCCTATATCATCTCTCAGAGCAGGTGTATCACTCCTCCTACATACAGGCTAGGTGAGAGCCA